GGTATTGGATTTTTATTGAATGCTTTTTTTGTATCTATTGAGATAATCATGTGGGTTTTTTTTTCTTTTTTTTGCTTCTGTTTATGTGGTGAATCACATTTATTGATTTGAGTATGTTGAACCATCCTTACATCCCTGGGATGAAACCCACTTGATCATGGTGAATTAACTTTTTGATGTGCTGCTGAATTTGATTGCTAGTGTATCTTATTGGATTTTACATCAATGTTCATGAGTGATACTGGTTTAGCTTAGCAGAACAAGACCTCCCTCCACACACACACCCTGCACACACATCCCCGCCCGCACGATACCATGCAGAGGTCCACCCCCCAGAGGACCTATGATCCAGCAGACTGGCACACTGTCAGTATTGCCTTGATACCAAAGCCAGGAAAGGACACAATGAAAAAAGAAAGCTAAAAACCAGTATCACTCATGAACATTGATGTAAAATCCTCAATAAGATACTAGCAAATCAAATTCAGCAGCACATCAAAAAGTTAATTCACCATGATCAAGTGGGTTTCATCCCAGGGATGTAAGGATGGTTCAACATACTCAAATCAATAAATGTGATTCACCACATAAACAGAAGCAAAAAAAAGAAAAAAAAACCCACATGATTATCTCAATAGATACAAAAAAAGCATTCAATAAAAATCCAATACCCTTTCATGATAAAAACCCTCAACAAAGTAGGAATAGAACGAACATATCTCAAAATTATAAAAGCCATAAATGACAAACCCACAGTCAATATCATATTGAATTTGGAAAAGGTGAAAGAAAGCATTCCCCCTAAGAACTGGAACAAGACAAGGGTGCCCACTGTCACCATTATGATTCAACATAGTACCAGGGGTCCTAGCCAGAGCAATCAGGCAAGAGAAGGAAATAAGGGGCATCCAAATCAGAAAAGAGGTCAAACTATCACTGTTTGATGACATAATCTTATATGTAGAAAACCCTAAAGACTCCACCAAAAGACTCCTAGAATTGATAAATTCAGCAGAGTCTCAGGTTACAAAATCTATGTACACAAATCAATAGCATTTCTACATACTAACAATAATTAAGCTGAGAGTCAAATCAAGGACTCAAAACCATTTATAATAGCTATGAAGAAAACAAAATACTTAGGAATATACTCAACCAGGAAGATGAAAGATCTCTACAAGGAAAATTACTGATAAAAGAAATTACAGATGACACAAACAGATGGAAAAACATCTCATGCCCATGGGCCAGTAGAATCAATGTCATTAAAATGTCTACTCTGCCCAAAGTGATTTACAGACTCAATGTGATTCGCATCAAAATATCAATGTCTTATTTCCCCGACCTAGAAAAAAATCATCCTAAGCTTCATTTGGAACCAAAAAAGAGTCCAAATAGTTAAAGCAATCTTAAGCAAAAAGAACAAATCTGAAAGCATCACATTACCTGATTTCAAAGTATACAACAAGACAATAGTAACCAAACTATACAGCACGGTGCTGGTATAAAGGTAGATACATAGATCAACGGAACGGAATAGAGAACTCAGAAATAAACTATGTGCTATGACCAACTGATCTTTGACAAGGCAGACAGAAACATACACTGGGGAAAGATGCCCTGTTCAATAAATGGTGCTGAGAAGAAGAAATGAAACAGGTGTGGATACAGAGAGGTAGGAACACTCATACACTGCTGGTGGGACTGCAAACAAGTACAACCTCTGTGGAAAGTATCATAGAAATACCTCAAAGAGCTATAACTAGAACTACCATTTGATCCCGCAATCCCATTACTAGGCCTCTACCCAAAGGAGAAAAAGGCATTCTATAAAAAAGACATCTGCACTAGAATGTTCATGGCAGCACAATTCACAATTGCAAAGATGTGGAAACAACCCAAGTGCCCATCAATCAATATATGAATGGATTAATAAAATGTGATATATGTATACCATGGAGTCCTACTCAGCCACAAAAAACAATGGTAATCTAGCACCTCTTGTGTTAACCTGGATAGAGAGCTGGAGCCCATTCTACTAGGTGAAGTATCACAAGAATGGAAAAGCACCACAAGCACCACATGTACTCATCACCATCATATTGATATGAACTGATCAACACTTATGTGCACATATAGTAGTAACATTCATTGGGTGTCAGGCAGGTGGGAGTGGGGAGAAGGGGATGGGTATATTCCCACCTAATGGGTGTAGTGCACACCATCTGGGGGAGGGACACTCTTGAAGCTCTGACTCGGGTGTGACAAAGGCAATATATGTAACCTAAACATTTGTACCCACCCACAAGATGATGAAATAATAATTAATTAATTGAAAAAAGTGGGTAGAAGACATGAACAGAACCTTTTCAAAAGAAGATAGACAAATGGACAACAGACATAAAAAAAAAGTTCAACATCACTAATCATTAGGGAAATGCAAACTAAAACCACAATGAGATATCACTTTTCACCTATCAGAATGGCCATACTTAGAATGTAAAAAAAAAAAAAAAAAAAGATGCTTGCATGGATGCAGAGAAAAAGGTATGCTTATATACTATTGGTGGGACTGCATATTTGTACAACCTCTAGAGAAAACAGTATGAAGATTCTTCAAAGAGCTAAAAGTAGACATACCAATCAATCTAGCAATTCTACTACTGGGTAGCTACCCGAAAGAAAAGAAATCATTTTATCAAAAAGACACCTGCATTCAAATGTTTATCATACCACATTTCACAATTGCAGAGATAGGGAATCAACCTAAGTGCCTATCAACATATGAGTGGATAAAGAAAATGAGGTGTGTGTGTGTGTGTGTGTGTGTGTGTGTATACAAACTATACAGCACGGTGCTGGTATAAAGGTAGATACATAGATCAACGGAATGGAATAGAGAACTCAGAAATAAAACTATGTAGCTATGACCAACTGATCTTTGACAAGGCAGACAGAAACATACACTGGGGAAAGACGCCCTGTTCAATAAATGGTGCTGAGAAGAAGAATGAAACAGGTGTTTCACACACACACACGTATCTATAGTATATATTTATACACACACACACACACCCCATAGAGTATTACTCAGTCATAAAAAAAAAAAAATTAAAGAATGTCATTTGCAGCAACTTAGATGGAACTGTAGACCATTAGAACTGGAACTGCAAACTATTATCCTAAGTAATGTATCTCAGGAATAGAAAAACAAATACCACATAATCTCACTAATAAATGGAAGCTAAATGGTCAGTACTCATGGGCACAAAAGACATAAAGGACACTGG